TATTTATATGATGGATGATGGTGGATGTAACAGGTGCTCAATTGATATCTAACAAACACATTTTAAAGAAACATAAGGCATTTTAGGCTTTTCCTATTTAAGCACTTGATGATGACGTAATATGCTCGGCGATAAGCTAAAGATACATAACAATATATTGCTTGATGATTTTATAATCGGCTGTATTAACCTAGTTGCAATTAAATGAGAACATCGACATTTTCATTTTTCTCCTTAACATTTAAACTATTTTTACACTTTGCACACCAGTTACTAGTTGTGCACTATACGCTGATGTCAATATTAATCGTGGAGTTGTTCCACCTTTGGGGAATCGCTTGCATATCGACATTATACCAGATAATGAGCTTGTTTAAGCTTAAAAGGAACGCAAATTATCCGAGATAAGTCTTCAGCAGAATTATTGTAACGTAAAATCTTATTAGCGCATATCAATAAATAGTCGTTGTAGACTCTAAATTGCCACTTAGCGTCTGTACATGACTACCGCGGAAATGGACGTCTCTTCAATTTATGTCACTTATCGTATGTGTATACCGGGACGCTTCTCCACATATATTTTCTATCTACCTCATATCCCGATTAAGGTGTACGCCAATCAGTGAAACCTTTTTTATTATGTCTACCGCTCCACACGGCAGCGGCTTTATCAGAAAAGATACTGTTACGTCTTCAATTTTTATCGTGCTAAGACTGCAGTAGGAATGATGCTTAAGCGTACGTTTCCTCATTTTACGCCTTTCGTCCATGACAGAAATTCTGATGCTAAATGACCAGGTTTTATTCTAATATTAGCAATAATAAGGCTAACACCATGACCCATATACATACATAAAAAAGAAGTGAAATATTCGTTGTCTGACATGTTCAGGGTCATTGTTCAATATCTTACGGAATTGGAGGGGTTTCAAGTGATAGCGGGATTACTTTGAGCGGTGTTTTACGGATTATCTGAGGTTACAGTATGCTTTGACTACATCGAAGTGTATAGTAACGCAATTGTATAGATCTCATCGGTTCCAAGCATAAATGTTATTGGATGATATAATTTAAACATATTATTGTAAAAACGGTTGGTCTGACGTAGACAGAAACGTTAATAGTATACGATCATTGTTAATTATTTGCGCAGCAATCAAAAGTATAGGCAATATAACAAAATGATGTATATATGGTGTTGAGCTGAATTTTTACATAATTGTTTAGCAGAGAGACTAGAGTGCAATCCGACCAACATAGTTGCGTATTTGTCCTGGCCAGATACGAACATCAGATTCAAATTCCGCAATAATATGAATGCGGGTAGGTACTTTCTACATTTTATAGTTTAAAAATTACAAGGGTGCAGATAAGTCACCGTTTAACATTGGTGTCGACTACGTTGGACTCGGAACAATTATTTTGTGGCGTCTTTGACGCGTCGAAAATTGACATACTATGTACTATGCCTTATAGTGACATCAATGGTCATAAGTGTGTATCACGTATAACGATATCGACAGCTCTGAAAGCAAAGAAGAACACTTCGATCTTCTTACTGATCTATTTGCTCTAAAAAAGGGCCTGATAGAGCTTGAAGTCCCTCTGTCTGATTTATACCTTTTTCGTGATTTATACTATAACATTATCATCCGTAATGCGATATAGTAGCCTCACCTCTCAACATAGGCTTTTTGGCTGCCGTTTTCTTACAAATGTTACATAACGTCAGGTTAAAGGTGGGTTGGCACGATAAAAAGGGATGCTTCGCCTCGCAGGATTGGTAGGTCGATTATACAAAAAAGGCAATTCGTCTTCGCCCAATACGGAATCGATCAATGCAATTAATTCTCGCGAACACAATATGGTACATTTGCTACCAGATCAAAATAGTATGCAATCTTGACTCATTCATACGATTCGCTGCGTACTTACTTACCTGTGACGACCTGTCAAAACTCTATCGATATGAAGAGTGTGGTATTGAACAGATGGGTACTGACCTGTCGGAACAATTATAAATATATTAATGGGTATAGCTACCTAATACTATTACAGGCTCATCATACTGCGATAACCGGCTACATCGCTCTTGACAAGGCCTGTGGCGCTGTAATTCAGGGCCATCGGTGACCTATAGTATATGTCAATGTGAGAAAATTCGTGCGTAGCGTGTTGTGTGCGTGTATAACATAACACCCAGTAAGTTCTCAGCTCCTGCGGCTACGCCTCTAGCTAATATACATGCACCCATTGAGATTTTTTATGAAACTCAATTAGTTTTTTGTCTGACTACCAAAAAATAAGATTTCAAACGGGTATATACCCTTCGTTGACCAAATACCCAATTACTTACTTAGTGGCTGTGTCGGACTCTATAAATTGTGAAGTTTGACCAAAGCTGTAGGTAAATCGCGTGTTTCATTATCACGCTTTGCGAGTAAAAATCATTTGTGATAGAGATATGCTTGATATGCTTGTACTTAAAATTTTCAAAAAATCATATGCAAAGTGATGGGCTGCCATTGTGATGTCCACAGCCTCTCTTCTTTGGACCCAAATCAAATGGGGGGTGATAATCGCGCTATGTGCACCAATTTGGTAGAGATAGCGCTGGTGCACTCTTAATAGAGATCCACAATCTTAGTTTATGAAATTTAGTTAAATTACGCCGAATTTGCCTCTTTTGGCTTTATTACGTTCTGTGCGACTTCTTGCCACATGAGTATTAGTAATCCGAACTCGGGATAATAGATGCGTCTGACGCTCCGTCACAGCCAGCACTTTTGAATGAGTAAATCAGTGGTTCATAACATGTTATAAGTACGACATGCAACCGCACGGTACCTACATCTTAAATGTGCTGCTGTGGACTAAGCTGTACGGTAAATGAGGTGTAATCAAATGAACGTATATCACGCATCACAATGCCGAAATGATTATGTCATGACGATAGCGTGCAGACGGTAAAGGTTAAAGTGTTGTCCGTACATTGTATTTTTATTATTGCTAGCAGCAAATTTCTGTTGTAAACTGCTGCTTGGCAGCTATCATTCAAACCTCCTTTCGGACTTACAAGCTATAACCCCTCGGAGGAATTCTTATCAAGAGTTATTATCTCCCAGCGTTGACACTAGCTCCAGACCACGACATAAAACGATTTGTGATCATCACAATCCGCGATCTCCACGTTAGTATATTGTACGAAGTTACAGATTGGATAATAGCGTCTATCCTAGTGGACGTCTGGCTACTAGACTTCTGTCGTATTACAAACTGTAGCAGCATGCTTAAAGCAGTAATGCTTGTAGCATGCCCAATAGGTAGAAGGACTGCTGCACGGCGGTAAGGGACCTTGTCGGATCGGCCTACACCCGCTCACACTTTTCGCATCGAAACGTATATTTTATTTAAAACCTCGGAAAACTCGAGATCATTCTGGAGCCAGATTTAGACAATCAGGGCCCACAGTCACCTAGCATTCGGAAAGCTTTCTATCGCTGCGTTGTGTCGTTTACACGAAGGATGAGATTGCTAGGATCTACTGCCACACCGTGGCGCCCCGAATACGATTTCTATGACTTTTGTGGTGTGAGGTTGTCCGTATATTGCGTACGGAAAAAGGTATAGTCAACTGCAAGCGGCGGGCTAGTCCGTGCCATGAAGCTATGCGGCTACTGACATGCGTGATGTAGCTTTTCATGCCGTGACCCTGTTACCGAAGAGACAAACTTCGGTTGATGGGGTCTATCGGTGCTACTGAAACGACACTTAAGCGAGATTGTAACGAAAAAGAAGCTCGAGTGTTCAACATGATGGGTGCTTAGTATCGAATGTTGGCAGTCGTGAGGAGGAGTAAAGGTGTAGATGTCTATCGGGTTCCTTTGGTGTTATTGATATGATTCGACTGTCTTGAGTATATTGCTGCTCACGCTAGTTATAATCGCGTGACTAAGTCATTCATGACAGACTGGTACAACAATACCTCGATTTCCCTGGCTCGATTCTTGTTGACCGGTGTCTCAGAGTTCGAAATACACCTTTGGTCCTGACATATGAGCATGTAGACCAGCAAATTAAGCAAATGGATAGTAAAGGTTCGAATGCAGTCGAAAGATGGATGTCAAGCATGATATGGTTGAAGATCTATTGAAGAAGCAACGCACAAGCTGATGAAGCTCACAGAATAGTGTGGTAATCACGATCGAGCTTTCTCTCGAGCTGTGCATTATAGTTGCAGCCTTTTGTACCATCTGTATGATGCGTGCTCCTATCGTCGTCGTTCCTGCGTCTTTCATGTCCACACAAAGCTGCGTCATCGGGCCCTTATCCATTCGATTTTCAATTTGTGCGCGGGCGGGAATATTGCACCTTTTGCAATTAGTGGAGACGCCATTCTCGTTCACCCAATAGCCTACTATGGTGTGACAAATAAAGATGGGGAGCAACGGCGAGCAGAATTTCCGGACACGGACAGCACTGGGTCGAACATAGACTTTGGTCTGGGACAATTGCTACAGTGAAAAGAAACGTGGCTTTCAATGGCATGCCGCTGGATGACGTACAAGTGCATTTTTATTCATCAGACTGCTTGAACTTACTGCTAACTTGCGTCAACCTTATTGACCGGGTTTACACTCTCATCTAGAAGCAATGACAAAGCGTGTTCATAGTCAAGATGAGCGTTGCGTATCGCAAGGTGCCATTGTTTTTAGTACTTGTTTCGTGATTTCTGACGTCACTCGAATGCGAGGACGCTTTGCACGGCACTATTTCCTCTGTGCTTTGGATATGTACATCTGCATGTACAATCGTCATTGCGTTTGGCAAAATATCACTAGGTTATAACCACATGCGCACCTTTAAGTCGCACATGGTTTGCTGAAGCGTATGGCGGCAAGCACTGGTTGCGATTGCTTACAAATCCCATCGGACGTGACTGTCGAATACAACTGCTCTGTATCACGTTACCGCATCATATCTCAGCAGCGCGTCCTTGTCTAGTACACGATAAAGCCTCGCCGACACCCTGTGGCGGCCAATGGCCACCTCTCACCTTGGCGATCTATCAAGGCGAGTTTGGCCAATAAAACAAACGAACCTTTGGCTGTCAGGTCGGTCGCTTTCACGTGCACCGGCATCATCAATGGCAAGTAAAGTATCGCCTGATCGTCGCCATGAGTTGTTGACTCAACAATAAGATTCCACGCGAGAGGAAGAATCACTGTAGCGCAATGCTGTACCAACGTTTCATCCGCCAACGCATCCACGACTTCATACGCCGATAAGCTAGCGATGACGTTGCTGGTTCTGTTTACGTTGGCTCCAGCCGGACACACAAGTATCTCCACTTCAAGCCTTTCCACTCGCTCGCTCCAATAACCCCGAGCGCTCGGTGAAAAAGCCAATGCACCCTTCAACACACTAGTAAAATCAGTTCCAAGGGGCACCCCAAGCTGTGACCGTGAACGCGGCTTTGCCGCAAAGGCTGCATGTTCCGAGTAAGTTAAGAACTGGGCGCTAGAGCGTAGGCGCCGTTCACTGCGCAAACGCGAGCGAAAGAACATTCTCGGCAGTATCGGAGGAATAGCGCAAAGCGCAATAAGAACTTGCTGCATCACGCGTGCACCAATACCTGGCTGCCGAGATGGAGAGAGCTTGTCGAGATGATCCAGTTTCGCACGAATATCCTCGCAAAGATTTTTCAGCATTTCAACACTCCACTGGTGGTTGTTGTCGACGGTCTTCCATTGTGCCGGGAAATCAATCAAGCTTGGTGACCGGAGTAAGAGGAAGCCTTCAACTGCCGAAGCCAATAGAACACACAAATCAGCTTGCGCTCGGAGTGCGTCGAGGTCAAGCTGATCGACACCTAGCAACGAGGTGTGCAACGCTTTATAGTTACAAGCTAGTGCGCGCAATTGTGTACTCAGTTGCCCTTCTCGTCCAATGGGGCTCCCCGCTACACTGGTAAATGCAGCTTCGCCTGCTAGTTGCTGAGCTGTCTGTAGGAGCTGCATCCACTCAAGTCGGAGCGAGACTAGATGCAGCTGCAGATCGAAGCAAAAGCTTGGGGTACGTGCTGACTGTAAGTACATACAAGTGCGAGTAAGCGCGTGAAGATTTTCCACGTGTACTCGCCGGTCCCTTGCAATGCGTGACTCTGCTTCGCACAGAGTCTGAAGAGCATGCATCCATCCACCAAAGCACTCACTGTCAGTCTTCACCACAATCACTTTCAGAAGCTGCAACGCAAGAGCAAAACGCCCTCGCAGCATCGCCAACTTTGCCAGCTCGTACCGCTCGGCATGAGACGCGTAGAGCTCAGGCTCCAGTAGTTTCCGTTCGAACTCGTCCAAGATTGCAACTATGTCTTGATCTTTTTCAGTCCCAATCAGCACAACTTCCTGAGTCCAGAGCAAAAATGTAGCGACGACAGCACGTAGATGAGGTGCATTCGTTCGCTCGGCTGTCGATAGTTCCTCCAGCAACATCAGAAGCTCTTTCTGGGTCAAACCGCCACTTAATGGTCGACGCAAAGCTCCGAGCGCCATAAAGATAGCTGTTCTACGCAACTTGTAAGTCGTAGAGGGTAGGTTGTTTGTAGAAATCGACAACAATTCCACCAAACGTGAAGAGACGCATGTCTCAAGGTGCTGAGGATAGTCTCGGCACAGCTTTGATAGTGCGTCTAGCGCATGATACCATGTGGCTTCGGCAGCAATGGTGGTGCGCGGATGCAACAACCGCAGCAACTCATCTAAACTCTGCCCCAACGATCTCTCCACAATTGTAAGCTCGTGTCGAACAATATTTGCAACAATTGATGTATAGGCCTTCCCAAAACGCTCGTCTGTGGTACTAGCCAGCAGTTTCTTGATATCCTGGAGCAGGACGTGGGCCTTTGCACCTATTTCATGGGCGCTGGACCACTTTTCAAGCAAGAGCAAAGCCGACAATTTGATACGCATCAATCCACGACCCGTCAGTACGTGCGGATTTCCAATGTGCGAAAAGACGTCATCGAGAACGTGTGCAAGTTGGTTCTCCTCGTCGATTGTACTTCCAATCCCGACTAGTCGTTGCGATACCAGCAGTGTAAAATTCTGGACAGTTACTCGAGGGTCGTGACCAATCACGTGATGCAACAATTGCTGATGCATCGGCAACAACAATCCTGGAAAAGATGCAGTCAACATCGTCATAGCACGAATGCTTGCTACTGCGCTCTTATCATCCACAAAACGCTCGTACAGCTCTGCACAATAACTCCATGTTTGTTGTGCCTCCACTGAGCTCGAGACCGCACCAGGCAATAAACAGCACAACCCTGTCGTCGTCTTTTTAAGACTCAACGCCAGCACATCCTTCCGAAACGCAGACAACAGTGGCATAAATGCACTCGCCGCTTGAACTGCAGCCAAGCGTTCGTCGTGGTCGTTAGCGGCAAGTTTTGCTATAATTTGCTGCTGCACAGTCGTGTCGCGCACAAGCAAAGACGGCATTGTCGCAACTAATTGCAACGTCAACGTCCGGGTCGTCACACTCGTCTTATGTGTCAAAGGCGAAACTAGATGCCCCACCAGCTACATTCGAAACCAATACAAAAGACAACGGCGTGACCGTTAACAAACTCGTGTCAGCTCAATTGACCATCTTTGCAACGGGTCGACTGACCCATCAAGATCCACCTAACCTTTGAAGCGTCATTCACTTGGGCCACGTGGGCTTTCGCGCGCTGAAACACTTTCACAATCGCACTTTGGACGATCACGTTCTCGCTACGGTTTAATCGACACAACGACACACCCATACACACGAATAATCCGCATCATACCAATACCACATCAGTGTCTCCTACGACAACATTTGTCGCGCCCTTTTGCTACCCAGTGCACTCTACCTTGCTGCAAAGTGCTCGACGAGTTTCGTACACACGGCGGCCAGAAAGTCCGGCCACACGAACGATTCCACCGTAAAGAGACGCGCGTAGAAGTGGAAACATTCGGCCAGTGCGCCTGCGTTGGCGTCCCCCACGGCGCTCGAAAGCACGTGTCGCTGCGCAGTCTGGAGCTGGAGCGCCTTCACTTGCACCTCGAGCTGCGCAAACTCCCGCACATGGAGGTCCGTTGGAGCGGTCGCCACTTGACTTGAGCTTAGTATGCAGGGGAACTGGTCGTGTGGCGCTCCGTGCAGTGAGTCTGCCGCTGGGTTCCCGTGGAACACGCGGTAGTGGGCGTGGGGGGCTGCGAGCATGTGAAGAACTGGTGTGGATGTTTTTAGAAGCCAAAATGGGTTAAAGACAGCGAAATGCAGTCGGCAGGTGGGCTCGTTTTTTTCATCTAATTTCCTGCGACAAACGTATGTATCCCTTTGATAAGATGACCGCCATCAGGTAATGTTCCCCAGCGCGTCATCGCATATTTGGTTTATTAAGCTCAAGACCACTACATAAGAAGGTTTAAGCTCTTGCCTAAATGAACATTATATTCCTATTTAGAGGAAGACCCATTATCAATCTAGCTCGTGGCAATGTGTGAAATACGAAAAAAGATCACTGTCATTGATATCCCATTTTCTCGGTTTTCCTTGTACTTTAAGTCGAGGACATAGTGAGTGCCATCTGCGTCGCGATACGAACCTCGCAGTTCTAACTCAAAATAATCAGCCCCACACGGCCCTCTTCTAGCAACCAATTCGTAACGATGCACAATACGTTTTATTGGCGATAGCACAAGCAATCTAAACAAATGGCCCTGTCAATCTGGTGGTTCAGACCTAACGATTCATTCTTGCAAAAGAGAAGAGTATGTAAGCCAAAACATATATTGAGATTTTAAAGCGATTGGGAACTTCATTCATTAAACCTTTTTAAATATAAAATACCAAAACCTTCCTTTCCAATAACCACCTAGAAGGATAACAAATTTTTTATCCTCTTACCACATAATGCACACGTGATTAATTGTGCTATTTCCTAATGTATACAAGAATGCGACAAGTAAATGTTTCATATATGAATAAAACAATAAAACAAACCGCTAAAACTGGAAAAGTACAGCAATAAACGAATAAATCAAATTTCTGTGAGCAAAAAACATCAATGTAGACTACACTTCTTTATATATATATTAGTAATGTATTTAAAAGCACACCAATATATTAATGATTAATAATGTATTATTGTCGTAAATTATACGAAATGAGATTTTTGGCTAGAGGATTTCGGATATCCACGCCAGTACCCTTCTATTCTCTTAATAAAAACCTCTTACACACTCATCACACAGGATTGTCATCGCAGGTACAGCCACCGAGCAGAATAATAGCTTGCGAATGTGGTAAATCTAGGCCTACATTAACGCATGCACCAAAAAAACAAGGCCAATGCGCTTCAACGCAAGAAGTCCTCTAATGCATATCTCAACACATCAGCTATCTTCGTTCAAGTAATTTCACTATATTATATAGTTAACCTTTTATTGGAGCCACTACCTACAGCAGCAGCAGCTTAATTTTGACGACCCTTATCGTCCCTTTAGCATTGCTTTTTTGCGAGCTTATGTGACACGTAATGATCCTGTCAGCCTCCACCCGGCCACCTGCGATGTTAATATAAAACACCCGTCAAGTATTAAGTGTATTTTCTACCTCTTCTGTTTTAATAATCTTCATCTTGTCGTGTCTAGTATGATATTTAATCATCCCTTACATCGTCAATTACGCATCATTTAACACTAACTTGTTCATCACTACCTAAATGTAAGATATGGTAGTGACGACAGATGCAGATCACTACAATACCGAATTGGAAAGATCTAGATAAGTAAAATAATCAACATGATCCAACATTCGATCGACAGAGCAACATGAGTACGCTTATGACGTCGACACACCGTTGTTTAGGTGCAACACGACTGCGGCCACTGTAGTTGTGTAGGTTACTAATCAATCATATGCGAGATGATATGATACAAATTGTTTATATGCATACTATGCGCACCTGCACATAGAATACATCTATACAACACCAGTCCTGCATAAACTTGTTCGCCCAATGTACAAAGTTAATCGCTATTCGTTTTGTCGATAACTCGAAGCAATGGTATTCTTTCGAATTTGTGAAGCATGTTGTTTTGTACTAATGACGTAATACCTCATAATTTTGTAATCTTGTAGTGTAATTTATTATCGTTTTGTAATGCATTTCCTTTCCATTAACTATTCTTTCATGGTTTTTTACAATACGCTATAAAGACATATTTTCTAGCTGATATCATTACCTACCGAAGAGCATGCGCAAATTATCATCAACCGCCAATAAGTGCTACCGAAATATTCTTTTTTCTAAATTAATTGCGCAAGTAACAAAAATTATGCTAACGTTTTGTGCCTTTTGTAAAGTAATATAAGGAGGTTCCTGTATGCCATATTTAGCTCTCCCCGCTGCTCTCCCTCTTATGATGTAGCGTTTCAATGACATTAAAGTGCTAGAAGCATTACCGTACTGCATTTCACGAAGCTTGGTCTAGTAGCGTTCTGCATGAGTAGACTAAATTCAGTACTTTTTCAATATCTTATATATTACGCTGTGCTAAGAATAGCGTACGCAGTGCATCGCTTCCCTATTTTCTTATAGGTAAGAAGCAGACCAGAAATCCTTCAATTTATGTGATCTTTAGAAAAGCTTATATAACCATAAAGAACCTGCTTTGCTAGGGATGAAGTTTATATATATATCAAACTTTAACATATTCATACCCCGCACATGAGACGCGCGCTTCTTAAACTTTCTTGTGGGATCGCCCGTGTGTGTAAGATTCATAGATGTGACGCCCCGTTACGGAACATCCTATGTAAAGTTAGAGTGAAAATAGTTGCGAACTGTACGGCGAGACTTCGATATGTTTATAGCAAACCTATTTGCTCAATTAAGTCGCTATGGAAGTGAGTCGACGTTTGCTAATACATGTTGGGGTTTAGAGCTCTTTTGCAGATGATTTGTACAGGATATTGGGCGCATAGCAGAAAGTACCCAAGTTTAAACTGATTGACTTAATACCGTGACTCGATCTATCGACGTCATCGCTAGTCAAATGGACCAAGTATACATATTGTAAATTATTGCTTGGGTGGGCGATTCGTCGGTAAACTCTCACAAATGATAGGAAGAAGTTATGACAGTAAAATATTTGCGTTTTTATGGTGCCACATGGGAGTTACTAAAAGTGAGATCGAAAAATTGTACCTCTTTTCGACAAGTCAAATACATCTGGCGTCTGGCAAATGTTTAATTTCGAGACACAGAATAAATTCCGACATATTTTATCGTACCGTCGCTGGCGCAACGTAGCTTCAAGCAAGAAGATAATAAGTGCTGCGATCTCACCTCATGGGTACTACTTTTGGTTGCTAAACCCCAATCTGTTGTTCACGATTGTAGAGATGGCTCGTAGAGTTTCAGATGAGTACAATGATACCGACGATTCACAATGATGTCCCTTATGCTCATAGAATATGTTCGCATGGGTCATGTTGAGTTTCATCGAGTTTTATGAAGATAGTCACCCAAATGCATCGATGTAACCACTAGGCTTGATGTATCCAAACTGACCTCGATTAGTCATTTAGAGTGTATGTGCGACATCGAATGCCATTTAAGACAATATTTCGGTATAGCGATGTTGTATACAAAACTACGCAACTTTGGAGCTGGCGGACAATATTCAATACTATCGTAGTTTAGAAGGACAGACTGCAAATTGGGACACGTGACCAAAAGTTTGATCTTGCAAAAGTTGATATAGACATCAAGGTTGCGCTGCCAGGTAAGATTATCCTCCACATAGGTCTTCTATCCAATTAATAGATCATTAAAAGATATTATTAATATTTAATTTCAACGAAACACGTTTTGCTAATCCTAACAAGTGAGTCTCTGTTTTCCGGCTACTTAATACACAGTGCTTTCATTCACAATATTCGATCCTGGATTTATTGGCTAGTATCGCACGACCCTCAAGACCCCTTAACTGCGAGCTGGTACAGCCAAAAATAAAGAACTGATAGCTTAGATTATAAAGTCTAGCAACACCTGGATGACAAAGTACAAGTCTACTTCAGTAATCGGAATGAAAGGTGAAGTGAGATTCAGCATGCATCCACCGTACGGAACAAATAAATTAACACATATCGGTCATATCTTATATTCATATTGACTGGCGACCTTGAGCGACAATTGACATACTACCAGATCGCTGTACCAAGATTGTAGTAAAGTAATTAACCAATCTTTTAGCGTTGAAATAAGTGATACAGGCATCTCCAGAGTTCTTTTAAATATTACTTGATCCATTCGAGACATTGAATACACATGGTAATTACAAGAGTGTAACAATATACAGATCGGATAACATTTCACCTATACTTGAAGTATGAATAAAGTAATAGTGAACGATCAACTCATCGACGTTTGCTTCTTTGCGCTTATCCAAATTTTTTGACGCGTGTTAGATTGCTTTTGCGTCCAACTTCAAGAAACATATGTCCTACTGTCGCAGTTTAATTTTTTATATTACGCATGAAAGGGGTGTTTGTGAACCGAATACTCTGTGTGCTTGCACCTATAAACCGTAACTATTATATTTGGAAATATCATAAAACATGCACCAAAAATAAAATTCCTTATTGCAAAGAAACGGGTACGTTAAACGTGTTCTAAATTGCTGGTAATTATGAAAGTGATATCAACCTTCAGGCATGCAACAGGTTAGAAAAGCAAAACAATATGCATAAATTTACATGTATGTTACTGTAAGCGCATACCAAACAAAGTATAACTCATGGTGCGCAAGTATATGCATATTTGATAATAGTATCTTATGTCTGGATAAATGACCAGGTATTTGGGCAAGAAAGTCATTTAGAATTTGATGTTTAAATTTGTGGATGTAAAAATAGGAAAAAGCCCGATGTTCGAATTATTGCGATTTATGTATAATAGACGTGTAAATGTCCACAGGATCGCTACAAAAGTGTGATATTTTCACGAGGACTACCGGGCACTAACCGACTTTAAATTTATAGTTATTTATTCGATGACAGACCATACTTTTACATATGAGACGCAGCCACACTAGTACCACTTAGAAATTAGCGTAGATAGCGTTATGTATACTAAATACTGCCGTGCAGAGACATAGCGCTAGAAACATTCGTAACAATTAAATAAAAAAAAGCTAGATAACGACCACCAT